CTGCCCGGTGGCAGCAAGGCCAACCGCTACAGTAAGGTGGAGCAGTGGAGTGCACCGGCGGCCTCATTATGCCAGCCGAAAAACAGGCCAGCAATCAAAACCAAGGAGCTCGGGAAAGTCGGTAGAGATCGGGCAGAAAGAAATAAAACGAGGAGAACCCGAACGCCACCTGAAGGCGAGGCGACCTGGGGAGCTCCTGACACAACGTCACCATTGCGGAGGACAGTGCCTTGGCGCAGTTCCTGGTGTGATAGACCCAGAACTCGTGGCTGAGTGGAGATGGAGGGCACATCATTCCATAACTGCCAGGCGTCCGTCGCGGCAGTAACTGGGGCACACCAGCACTTACCGTCAGCTTCAATGACCACATTGACGTATGTCGGGTCCTCGGACACCACAACTAAATGGGCATGGTCTTGGGCAATCCATGGTACCGGCACCCAACGCCCAGGGTAGTGTTGACAGAATTCCCCGGCAAACGTAAAGTCGAGGGCCCGCCACTGTGCCCCTTCAGGTGCATGTCCCCGTATTGCACGGACCCCAGGGCGCCAAAGTACAAAATTTAGACTGCCCAGACAGCACAACGCCGAACCTGCGCATCCGTGTGGAAGCACGGGGGCTGGTAAGTAGGCTCAAAGGCTGCCGGGGGCAGGGCGACAGATCGCCTGAACGCCAACTGATAACGCCGTCAGGAGGCGTCGACGCGGCCAAGGAACTAGGCGCCCAGGGAGAGCGCCTGAAGTGGTTGAAGAAACCGGAGAGCCACCCCCTGGAGGAGCAGGGGATCAAGACAGAGAAATGCCGGTCCAAAGAGGACACCGCCAGGCACACGAGTCTGGGATCAGGGGGTCGAGGCACGACCAGCCTTGAAGAGCGGCTGGGCACAACGTCGGCACCCCAAGCCGGCTCACAGGCCTGCGTCAAGGTGTTAAGCTCAGCCTCCCGAGGCCCTGTGAAAGGACTAAGCAGAACAATATCCAATTCGGGTCGGGCCGAAAGATCGAGAAGGTCGCCTTCACCTGGACGTGCGCGCCATGGGTACAGCCCAACTCGGATGGGCGGATCGAGAAGCTCGTAAGAAGGCACCATGCTAGACCCCAGCACAGCCCCGAGGGCTAGCCCTAACCACCAGGGAGCGCGACCAACCGAAACCGCGAGAACGCCAAGCAGAACCGTGGGGCCAGACGAGGCAGAGGTCAGAGATTGATGCCAGGTATGCGGGGCACTCTGCGGCTGAGCATCATCTAGACTGGGAGGCCGTATACTGAATGGGTCCCAAACTAGATCAGCATTCGGGGCAATAACCAAGACGTCCCCGTCCCGCAACGTGCCACCAGCACGCACATAACGAATGGCAGGTAACAGTTGCCATCCCAAGGGGATGCGATGGGTGTTGCAGCCCGCTAGGAAGACCCCCACCGGTGTCTGCTCTGGCGGCAAGAGAAAGAGCAAGGACTGGTACCCAGGAGCCTGTTAAGGTCTCTCCACCTAGGCTTCGAAATGTGGGGCCTAGAGGATCCCAATACGCATTGTCGCGTATATACACCAGCTGACCAAAACGGCTGGAGGTTGTCCACAGGGTGACGGGGCCGCCTGTGTCGAACCTGAAGGACAACGACCAGCTGGCAACCTGCCGCGCCCTATCAAGGGAGGGGTAGTGCAGAGCAGGGAACCGCGTAGAGCCGGGCTGTGTTGAGTCAGGCAGAAAGCCAAACGCATCTCCATTACGAACCCAGAGAGCCCAATGTTGCTTAATTAAGTTTGGCGCTTATTTAAGCAATGTGTATTTAAGAAAGGTTTGAAAATTTAAGCAAGACACACCTTGCTTAATTAAGGCGCAAAAAACATTGTTTAAATTATGGTGTCGCAATGACACCGGTCATATACATGCACCATGTACACATATACACCACCACAACACCACCACAACACCACCACAACACCACCACAACAACACCACAACAACACCACCGATACCACCACAACACACCACCACAACACCACGACACCACCACAACACACCACCACCACACACACACACACCACCACCACACACCACCACCACCACCACACACCACCACACACCACCACAACACACCACCACCACACACCACCACACACCACCACAACACACCACCACAACACCAACACAACACCAACACAACACCACCACAACACCACCGACACCACCCACACCACCACAACACCACCAACACCACCAACACCACCAACACCACCACAACACCACCAACACCACCACAACACCCAGCTGGCTCTCCCAGCCACCCTCCCACCAACCAACCAACGAACCAACCACCCACCCACTCACCTTCCCGCACACATGCACAAAATGGAAACAGTAAATGCATGCACCATGAAAATCTATCTAACCAACCCGTAACACAATATCCTCTACCTACAAAAACTTGCAAGCCTCGATCCCCAGCACAGATTTCTCGATCTTTCACTGCCCCACGAGAGGGATTGGATTCTTGGCATAGAACATCTGTAGCACAAGGTGAGACACGGCGCTGGCGGTGTTTTTCCCTCCTCGCCGAGACCCTATATGGGCCAGGCTTCCTCCAAAATCTTCGTCTCTATAAACCCAATGGAGGCTCGGAGAGTCTGAGCTCTCTTCACAAAGATGCAAAAATAAGTGCATCTTAGGCTTGAAACGCCACACCGATTGATCTGGATAAATGGTAGCCAAGCTAGCATACAGTAGCAAAAACCTTCGGCATGCACCAGCCAGCTTGTCCCTATCAAACTGAGCAACACTGAGACAGGAGTAGCACTCTTGGAGATAACGGCCTGCATCAATTGCAGCTCGATGCTCAGCAGTCCCCTGAGTGAGGAACTTTGCACAAGCATCAGAAATCCAAGGGATGAGCCCCCGGGCTTCACCGGCCTTGCACCTCAACTTTGGGCTGGCGGCACTATTCTTTTTGACCATTCCAGCAGTGAGGTGGTCAAGCCTGGACTCGGTACCATTTCTTTTGTAAAAATCTTGCACATGCCTGAACAGTTCAGCCAGCTTCTGCTTCTCGTTTCCCGGTATCTCCTTAAGGATCGTATGCATGAGGCATCCCAAGTAATCAGCAGCCACGCCCTGATCACAACAATGAAGCCAGCCTATGGCAAAAATGTCTGTTCGGAAGCATGGAGCTCCGAACAAAGGTGGGCATGATCCTTCTGTTGCATATATGTTAGCGACAAGTTGCCAGTGTGTTAGTGGTGATTGTCGCCACGGGGCAGAGCTGCTGGTATCCATGAAATTCTCTTTGTTGGCAGAGCACCGGTAGCAGCAGCTCACTCGCTCCGCCCACCCAGGGAGGCGAAAAGCTGACTTAAAGGCAGACCAATCCCCGCGAACTTCGACTAGCAAAGCTTTTTGCAAGGTCTTCCCTGCGAGCTTGGCTCTCTTACCAGTCAGTTCTTCTCCATCTGGACCGTGGCTAGGGTAGACACCTTCGGCAAGGCACGTGAGCGACCATGTAAGCACTCGCATAATCCCGTCAAGACTGGAATTCTTCACCATGTGCCCTTTGTAAAGTGCTGTTAAAGGAATTCGCATAGAAGCCCAAGCCCCCCCGACATGAGGAAAATTCATCGTCACGACCTCGAGTGATTCTGACCTGTCGTACTTCACCGGTATGCCATCGTGCCATATGCCAATGGGAATAATGCGATCGTTTTCACCAAATCCCAACTCTTTGGATGCATTCGCCAAGTGCTGCTTGCAAGCTGCCCTTAAGTTGTCTAGTTTCCAGAAGTGATCGTCGTGACTGTTCCATATGCTGATGGCATTCACTAGCTCGTGCGGCAACATAACTTCGATCTTGCCCATTTCCGCCTCCTGAGTTGCCCTATTGAGAAGTGGCACAGTCGCCTGGAACATACCCGGCCACTTCTTGTCCTTCTTGAGTTTTCGCAAAAGATCGCGATGAGCGTGACTGCTGTCTGCTACTTTAGCTAGCTCAACAGTTTCTCTAGGGTCGTGAGTTAAACTGTCCGAATACAAGGAACGTGCTCTTTTGGCACTCACTGCCCCTGTCAATAACAAATCGGCGACATTATCCCTGAGCCGTCGCCCATCGTCCGTGCTGGAACCATGCACCGAATTCTTCGACAGCATGCGAGCTGTCCATCCACCTATAGATCCTACAATAAAAGACCTTATAGATTATTCGATTGTTCGCCATACAACATGTAGCCATTGCCTCAACTTCAAAGTTTGATCCCGGTGGTGCTTAGTGTATATAAGTCTAAGTTAATGTCAAGCTAGGGTACCGATACACCTCAATCAAAAGCTCGAGCAAACATCCCCACGGGAGTTGCATGTGCATGGATGAAATGCATGCACATGCATGCGAAGTGGCGGCTGCTGCATCTCTTACAACAGCGGCCCGATTTTTCGGAGCTGAAAGTACCTGTCATCGGATCCGGCCATGGGTCCTGCAAGCGAGCTCGAAGTTGCAACATAGTCAGCTTTATTGGCCCAGATATAAAAACCAGATGCTTCCACCGTATGTATATATATATATATATTATATACACCACAAAAGCCCCTAAACCCCACAAAACCCTGAAGCCTCAAACCTCAACAGTAAATGTAAATCACAAAAAACCCGAAACCCCAAACAACAGTAACACTTAGGACTTAGGACATCCTGTTCATGTGCATGCAGTCAGTGCTCCTTTGGGCATTGTTGGTCGGCAGGAAGTATACCTCCAGCGATATAGCGGAGGATGGTTGGGGTAATTTGTATACTAGTGCACATAAAGCATCCATGCCACAATCGATTTCTTTCATGGCGCCTGTCTCGGGCGAAGAAACAAAACCCCTCTGCGATCAGAGCTTGCCGTGGCAGACTTGCATGCAATGACAGCACTTACATGTTTTATTCAAAACTCACTGCAAGCAATTGTGCACGACAGGTATGCAAACATGTGCATGATCGATCTACATGGCTGACGACCTTCGGTCAACATGTAAACACTTAGAGGAAAGCTTTCATACCGCGATTCATCTGCTTGACCCCCTCCTGGTGAATCAACATCTGCTCACCGAACGTGGTCCATTCGACTAAGGCTTTGGTGCACTCGTCTTGATCACTTGGTGTAACCTTGGACACTGCAGCATATGCTTTCCGAAGCTGCAACAAGTAATTGTGCAGCACACCCATCTTGGCCTCATAGTCGTCTACGAGTTTTTCGAAGCCCGGCTTCCCGTTGACTGCCACAGCGAACTCACAGAGGGTATCCTTCAGGGCGGTTTCCTCTCTGTCGAGCTTTGCTTTCGCCGTCCAAACTGGCTTGACCTTGGCCATGAGCTCCACGTGCCAGGGGTTCTCGAGCTTGATGTTCGGATCGGAAGGCTTGCTCGTGATCATCTTCTTGGCCGCTTCCATCTTGAAACCCTCAGCCTTCACAGTCATCGACTGCGACTTTGTGTCCACCTCTTTCTCCTTCAGCGGATCAAGGTACTCGTAATAGTACTTCTTCATGGCCGGGATCTTGTGGTCCTGGACAAGGTCGGGATCCTTTGTGGGATCGGTCTTAAGCCGAGCCCATAGGGCATCCAAGAGCTCTTTGAGGCACTCCTGCTTGGCAGCCTCATCCATACCATCGGTATCGATGCCTTCGAACTCGAGGATCTGTTTGCGGGTCCGCATGCCTTTCGTTGTGCACCTCTCTGTGACACTGTCGTGCTTGTCGCTCTCGAGATAGGTCGCGGCCCAAGAGAGGTCCTTCGGACCGTGTTCGGAGTACTGCCGGGCCATTTGGCGCTTCCCGTCGCTGTCCATGGTGCTGTACATCTGCAACACAGGGCAGCATACAAATGTAAATCAAGAAGGGCTTGCAACCAGCTAGCTTTACACCCTTAATTTATGGACCCCGTACCTCCAAGAGTTTCTGAGCCGTGGTGGCTTGGTCGCGGTTTTGCCCTTGGCTGATTTTATATTTCATTGCGGTGACGAAGCCACTGAGCTGTTGCCGATCTGGGTCGGCTGTTGCCTTCGCCTTTGGGCTCGCCTGGGCTTTGTTCTTGGCCGCGACCTTGGCCGAGAACTTGTTCACCGGCTTGCTTTTGGCCGCTGTGACCTTAGCCTTGCCACCTCCTCCGATGAAGAGCTGGTGCTAGAGCCTCCCGAGGCACTGGCATCGGTGGCCCATCCCAGCCGAGCCGGCGAACTCGAGAGGCTCAAGCACCTCATCTGCCACCTCTGATCCCTCCACCGCCTCCAGCTCGTCGAGCTCGATCGAGATCGATCCCTCCCCAGCTCCTCCGCCTGCAGCCTAAAAAACTCCTCCACCTCCTCGCTGCCAGGCGACGGCGGCTCTGCCGCCTTCTCCAGCTCCTCCCACCACAGCTCATCATCCGAAGCCATCTCGAGAGGAAAAGCCTAGAGCCTAAATCCTATTATGTATTGTGGCCCAGCAGAGCCGCGGTTTGATCTAAAGTCGCCTAGCGGTTAAAGCGCCTAGCCTAATGCTTCTAAGGTCAAGGTACCCAAAGGTCCGAAGGTGTATAAATATGTATATACATTAAACTTATATAGCAATTGTTGTAAGTATACATATAACACATATTATCTTGGGGTCCAGCGACAGAACCGAGCTCCGGCACAGTGGGTTTACACAATCTACGACATTAAAGACTTATAGGCTTGTGTATATTTAATATTTGGGGCCACATATATAAGGGTTACAGGGCTACATAATTTATTGGGTTGAGGCTCAAACCCTGAAGTTTCATGGGGGCAGCTCAAAGTGATGTCCGGGATACTTGATCATCGATGGGCACAACTGATCTTATAACAATGCTAGCTGCTGTAACAGCTTGAGATCTCGTACCAACAAGCATCAAAGCATTGCATGGGTTCACATCTGGGTCGACGGCACTAAACAATCCTACGTGCATGCATGCATAACCGGCCAGTCCTCGATGCATCCATTGACGAGCCCTGCACCACTGCCCAAGAGTACCTGGAGCCATTGCTTATCTATATTTAATTCCTAAACTCCTCAGAGGAGTTAGCCAATGCAGTTCACGGCGCTTTTTGCAGAGAGAGGCCGGGAGAGAGAGCTCGAGAGAGAGAGATCTCGAGAGAGAGATTTGGATGAACAAAATCATGTACACTGGCTGTATTATATATATATATATATATATATATATTATTCGATCATATATAGCTAATGTTCGTATACTACTATATATGATCCGGAGCTGCATGAATATTCAAACTTCAGCCGGTCTAGGTTCAGGGTTTCAGTGGGATTGCTTGTAAACCCGAGTCCTTATTGTCAGGTGAACCTGCAGGGCTTCAAGGTTTAGGATGGTTTATAATAGGCTTTTAGGGCTGGGTGCTATTGACACGACTAACTATAGTTCCATATACCCCGGCTCGAAGGATCGCTAATAAATGAAGCCCTGAAGTGCAAGCAGGTAAGAGCGGGCAGGGCTAGGGTCACTGCAGATCGATCCTTATACCTCGGTGCACCGCAGCGAATTAAGTTTAGCCTCCCCATGGGAGGCGGACTATATCGACTGAGTTCCTCGCAGCCAGTTAATTAAGTCGGCAATGCTGACCTGGGTCTGCAGGCACAAAGCTAGCCATCATGAAAATATAGAAAGCTCAGAAAACATCATGCATGCATGATCCCGCCTCACACCTGTCCCTTGGCCCAGCTCTCCACGACAGCAGGGGTCTGCCTTTCTTCCCGCATCTTTGCCACGGATTGCCAACCAATCTTTCTCAATGCCTCTTCGGACATGTCACAGCGGCGGCCGCCGAAAGAAAACACTTGCTTTTCGAACTTCGTTCCATCGAACTTCACAATGATCCGGACTCCGATCTTGTTGTCTTTCTTATAGTACATGCACGTGTAGAGGGCATCCTCCGGCACCGGGACCTCGGGGTCGTACTGATATCCTGCCTGCTCATCACCCTCGCTGGGTACAACAGCATCAGGAGCAACTTCTGGAGCATCATGATCATCATGTGGAGGGTCTTCTGCTGCAGCCGGTCTTCTCGCAACAACCTTGGCCTTGCCCTTCGCCTTCGCCTTGCCCGCCTTGCTCTTCGCCTTCGCCTTGCTCTTCGCCTTGCTCTTCGGTTTCCTTTTGATCTGCTTGGGCCTCAGGTTGGCACCATGCATGACCAAATTGGGGACCTCTGTCTCGAAGGGATCTTCATTTTCGAACTTGGCTTAAAGGAACCCCTTCGGACCTTCCTCCATCTTGGCCGCAATCTTCTTGCCTCTGATCGTTCGCACCATCGCGAGCATGCTACCATCCCAGAACTGCAACGGATTCGGAGCAGCATCGGCGGGCCCGCCCTCGATAACCTTGCCACCTTCGCCGACATCGCCCTCAATCTCCTCACAGGAGCTGTCGATTATCTCAGCATCCACATCCAAAGCAGTTTCAGCTCCACCTTTGGAGCTGCTGCTAGGGTTGGAGGTGGGCGGGAGGCCATACAAGCTTCGAAGCATTTCGTTGCTCATACCTTGGCTGCTGGGGCTGCCAGTGTGCTGCTTCTTCTCGGCCTGGTTGCTGTCAAGGTCAACAGGAAGGTGCTTGCTTTTGCTTCGCTTTCGCTTCGCGATCGTGCTGGCATCCGACGGGGCAGGCTTCAAGGCTCGCTTGGGCTTACTCTCCTCACGGGCTTTTGAACCAAAAATGTTCTTGCTGATCTGCTGGATGATCCTTCGAACCGCTGGAGGCTGTCTCGCACAGGTGCTTACCTGGAGCCGCTTACTGTAGCAGTAACTGACAGCTTTCGCCACCCTCTCTGCCCACGTCTCAGCTTCTGACCCCTTGACCTGCTCCCACGACTTAACAGCTGCAGCCTGCAGCAAAGTCTTGGTCGGTCGAGGTGTCCTTAAGAGGACATCGGAAATCAACTCCTCATAGGCCGAAACGATCATCGAGGGCTCGTGGTCTAGATACTTCTTATCCAGACCATTGGGTAGGTGGGCCCGCAGTACCTTCACCAGGTCTTCCGGCTTGGCCGAGTTCGACCGCCTTGAGGTCGACATGTTGGGATATCTACCAAGCCAAAACAGCTATATGATCTGCGTGCTGCACATCGACAACATACATGCTTCGACTTGAAAAAGACTCTGCGAGAACACAAGCTCGAAGAAAACACACAGTGCCAAACACATGCCTTAAATTTAAGCGAAAACACACCTTAATTAAGCTATGTTTCTTTTCCAGGAAAACATGTCTTAATTAAGCAACACTTTCTTAAATTGCGGTGCGCCTTGCTTAATTAAGCTGTAACATTGCTTATTTTAAGCATGGTTCCTGTTATTTAAGCAGTATACAGCTTAACTAAGCAATAAACGCTTCAATAAGCAATGTTCAAATAAGCTCGAATTGCTTAATTAAGCATCTGTTTCTTAATTAAGCAACATTGGGCTCTCTGGGAAGGCGGATGTGCGTGTGCATGTGAGCGGCACGAAGGGAAGGAGGCGGAATGACAATCCAGAACCGTGTGCTGGGAATGAGACGGGCGGCCAGCCGCTGAATGTCCTCGAGAGACGCATCAACCGACGCTAAGGCAACGGCCGTGCCACTAAGGGTGTGGAAGACTACACTTGCCATCCCGAAAGGAGCAACAGGGGCAAGCGTAACTTGGGCGAACGGAAACGCCGCACGGACAGGGAAGAAGCGGGTTGCCCAGGAACCACAGTGTCGGGACCCAACAGCTTCAAACAGGGACCAGGGTCCTTCCAGTCGGGCAAAATGGAATTCGCTCCAACCTCGCAAGGGACATAGGACTCGGGTAGTGAGGGGCCTTGGACCTGGAACAAAGCTGACCATCAGTACAATCGGGCTGCCACCCCGCCTGTAGGACATAAGGTTCACCACTGCTGAAATCAACTCGCGCAGGAAAATAGCGGCGAGAGCTGTCCCGATCACGGGAGCGACTCCTCCCAGGGGGCACCCTGGTGCGAATGGTGCGAGCTTCCGAGGAGTCAACACTGGAACATCGACCAGAGGAGCCGGATGACACAGCCCAGGCTTGTCCACTGAAACCATAAACAAGGAGCAGAAGTCTGGCTAGCGTAGGCAGCCGACGCCCGAGCAGTCCAGCTGCAAGGGAATGAACCCACCAATCACCGTCACGTACACTGGCTTCCTCAGTAGCCTGACTGGAGGCGGGGCGGAGGGAAAACCCTTGAGTGTAAAGGTCATGTGCAGCGCCTCTGTCAATCTCGACACACCTGGTGGAGCCACAAGACTGTATGATATTCACACGCCCAAAAGCAGTGGCTTGCTCAACAAGCCAGGGCGCCCAGCGGTGGACTCCCAAGGCCTCCTCGTGTTGGCAAACGGTGGCCTCAGCAGCATTCCACCGCGCTTGGTGTCGGAGGAGAGCGACCCGAGTGGGTCGGCTAGGTGACCACAGCAGCACACAGGAGGCGTGAGCGACAATAAAGTCAGAATGCCATGCTGAGGCGGCATGTGCAGCTCCCCAGGTCAAGAAGACGGGCGTCTCGCGTGGCCCTGCTGAAGGGTCCGACTGGAAAAGCCGGACTGCTATCACGTCACCTGATCGCAATGCGAGCACAGGTCTGGTGTCCCGGGTTGACGCTGCCAGCCCTGGCGAGAGGTGAGCACTTACCCGGCGGCCAAACCGAAGCTGCAAGGCATGAGTTAAATCGCGGGGGGTGAGAAAGGCAGGCACGACAACACAAATAAGCTGCCCTAGACCCGAAACCAGTATGCATGCAAGCCTCCCTCCTGGTCTCGGGACCAGAACATGCGAACCATCGGACACCAACCCGGATTCAGCAAACCCCCGATGCCATGACGTCAAGGTGTGATGTGCATCCGCGATGACATCCTCAAAGGCATTACTGGGGTCAACTTCAACGCGTTGCCAGGGCGCAAAGGGATTGGCCAAAGTGAGGGTGACTCGGTTAACAGTGGCAGCAGGGATAACCGGAGCTGCCAAGGGGGCTGCAGGTGCCTGTTGAATCATGGCCGCCGCTGACGGCAGTAAAAACATAGCACCGGCCCCGAGACTCGAAGACTGGCCACCATGCATGAGGCCAACAGCAAGGACAAGCAGGAACTGGCGTGCCATGGTCAGATGTGATAGAGCAAAGGCAGTTCCCAACCACCAGCCGAGGCGACAGGAGGCAGTCGCACAGTCACCTCGAGCAAATTCTCCGAAAATCACATCCCCGTTGCGGAGTTCGCAAGCTTGCTCCATGGCATATGACGGGACCCCGCCAACCAGAACCGTCGCAGGGCAGAACCGCAACTGAGCAGCGAGGCTGTCACGGGACGCAACACGATCAACCGATCGGCACAGCCGCCCTTCTGGAGTAGCTGCTACAACATTAACCTTAGCTGCAACCTCGTTAACCGCCATAAGCTGCAGGGCACGAGCACTCGTCCACTGAACCGGCGTCCAAAAGCCCGGAAATTGGTGTCTAAAATCCCCAGAAAACGAAAATGCCTCAGGACACCACGATTCTCCGGCCGGGATGCTCGTGAGCAGTGGCGGTTTCTCAGGACGGAGCAGGTGAACCGAAATCGGAAACATAAGCTGGAATCCCACCGCCCATGGAGCATGATGTGCCGCGAGTCCATCTTGGAGGTGCCAAGGCTCAACAAACTCTAACGGCTCATCAGGGTCCGCTGGGGGATCATGGATATAAACGACGTCCCCGTTGCGGAACCGAAAAGCAGCTGGCGGGACATCGAAAAATTCACAAACCGCCAACCCGTGGGGAAGTGAGAGCCCGCCTACTTCACTGTTGATATGGCGGGCAACAAAGGAAGTCAACCACGCCACCGTCATAGTTCGGGGCGTGAGTGTTGCCCGATGGTGGCCTCCCCAGACAAGCATAATGGTGACAAGTGCAGGATCATGTCCGACTGGGACGACTGAAAGTTCATTGAATGCAGGCCCTGGCCAGACCGGAAAGTAGTCTGCCGCCCAACCCGGATCATCATTGCGAAACTGGGCCCAGGCCTGAGTGTGGCAGGTGTCCTGGGAGGCTGTAAAGGGGGGAAAAACCCCTAAAAAGGGTGCAAGACAACTTCAACCGGGTCCTCACTCGTAATGCCAGAGAACCGCCGGTTAACCGGGTCGACACCCCAAGGGAAGCCACCTGGCCTATGCATACCTAAAACCTCGGCGTGCCAGAGACAGAGAGCGAGCATGGCAGGCGCCACACCAGGCAACCTGGTGGACGTGAAAACAAGCCAAGCCCACAAACCAGCGGCCCTGAATGCAGCAGAAGTCGATTCGGGGACCGTTGCTGCGGCAGCAGTGCCAACCCCCAAGGTTTCTGCAGTGGCATCGTGCACATCCTGCTGGGAGGGTAGCCGGCGGGATGGGCGGCGCCCCGCCGCCAGACAGTCACCATTGCGAAATTGTACAACAGCAGTTTCTTCCTGAACCTCAGGAGGTCGGAGATCATATTCATGGCCGTCAAGGTAAAGCGCCTGGAGCGCTGCACAGGCGACACAAGCAGGAAGGCAGCATGGAAGGAGGCGTCCGTCAATGACGACACCTACCGCGACATTGCCCGGCGCCTGCGGGCAGCCGATGAGGTGCACAGCTGTGGCATCGGGCTGCGGCATGAGCAAGACCATCCCGGCCCAACCACGGCTACGTGCATGTCCTTGAAACAGGACAAAGGGATTAAGCTCCGGCCCAGCGGAGTATTCCACAATGTCGCATTGCTGTCTGGCAGTGAAGGGGTTGTGGATACAAAAGGGAGTGCCAAGTGGTATGGCAGCGGCAAATGTGCGTAAGCCTCGTTGTAGTCCAAGCAAATCTGCTTGGACCCGTCTAACAACGTCCTCATCGGCAGCCGGCTCCCGATCAAGGGTGGAGGGCCAAAGTCCGAGAGCATAATCCTCAAGAGGGCGGGCCGCACGAAGATAGCGCAAACGGGGTTGAAAGGGGGCGTTCACCGGCTCCGGTGGAGGAGGTCCAGCTGGAGTGGTGAAAGGGACTGGTGCACCATCAGCGGCAGACATGTTCTCAGCTTGGACAGGAGGGGGACCTTCCTCATCAGACTGCTCCTCGTCCGAACACTCCTGCGGGGGGAAAATAATGGAGCCATCACTGACAGTTGCAAGAGCAAGAAAGCTCCCGAACGCAACCCCCCGAAAACCAAGTTGTGCCCCGACTAAGACCCAACTAACAAAGTACGGCAGAGCCAGCTTGCGGCTGCCAGAAGTACTTCCGATATCAAGCAAATCGACGTTCGGGGCAGAGGCAGCAGCACACGCGCTTTGGGAGGACAACCTCAGAACGGAGGGGGAGTCTCCGACGGGCTCAGCATCAGGCTCCGCAAGCCCAGCCCAGAGTCGTGATGTATGGAAAGAGAGTTCACGGGACAGCAGATGAACCCGTGAGACAGTAGCATGGTCGAGACCAGTACCGTTACCTGAGAGATCAGTCTGGACGCCTTGATCTACCAGGGGAGTTTGCGAGGCGCCATCAGCAAGTCGATTGCCACGCCCATCAAGCCGTATGGCCGGTTCCAGCGCAGGACCACGACTGGGCACATGTCGGAAGAAGGGGCTGTCAATGACTAGCGGGTCCGGGTTCCAGGGATCATCATCTCCCGGAATTCGCGCAAGAGCGCCGATGATGATCTGAATGACAGCTCCAGACGGGAAGTCAGGCAAGGGAGCTCCAGGCGGATAAAACTGGCCTGCAAAGGAAAGAGCTGGGCAACGGTCTGGCAAAGGTCCCCCCGGGAACAGGGCCCGGATGTGAGCGGAGACAACATCCCAATGAAAAGGGGTATGCCCAAAAGTAACAACAGCCGCATCTCCCCAGTGCAGCAGCCAGAATCGAGCATTAGGATGTGTGGTTGGCACAACCGGCACGAAGAGAACGTGCTGCACATTCCCAACAGGTGAGGAGAGAGTAGACCTGAACTCACCAGGGTCGTCAATGTGATGTAAGCGGCACATCAATTCACGGAGCCAGCGTGTTGGGTAGCCTTGCGGCCGCCAAGGCAGGTCAACAGGCGCAGGGACATTGAGGGTCCAGATCCGAATGGTAGTAGGAGCTGGCGGTGGAACTTCGTCAAATGTAGCTAAAGCGGTGCTATGAGGCGGATGCATAGCAGCTGACTGCCCCCCAAGTAGGATCAAGGTCAGGCCACCTAAAATAGCAGGAGAGCAAGCTCTCGCCGCCACAACCTGCAGGACGCCGTCAACCAGTCGGCCAACCAGCCCTGGGAGAGCACGGCCAATGAGTGCCCTAGCCCCTTGGGGGCTCGGTGACATATGACGCACCTCCGCCGAGGGTTCGACACTGTGCACAACACCATCAGGCTCAATGGCACAAAAGAAGAAAGAGCAGTGAGAAGTAAAGTGCTGGACCACAGGCCGGAGCAGCTCACACCCAATGGAATCCCTGAGGATCCACCAAACTGGTGGAGATGGCGGAGTTACCAAAATGTCCAACACCTGCGGATTAAGGCAACATGGAGCCCATACTCACAGTCAGGCAAAAAGGCTCCAAGATATGCGCTAAGATGCAGATCAAGGTGGCGCGCATGGACACGCAGATGGATCGGGCCTTGCCCGGGTAGCCAAAGATGCAACTGGATTTCATACTGTGGTGAAGTGCGCTCAACGTAGGCACCTAATTGGGGCGCCGCTACTGCAAAACCATGCGTTTGTCGCCCCAGCTCGTGCGTCCATGACATGGTGCAGGGCCGCGTGAAGTCACGACGGGTATGCAAAATGCCGTCGGCAGAGCTCCGAGGTACCAGGGTGGCGGGCTCGAGAGGCAGCTGCACCGACTCAACCGGGAGCGCCAAGAGACCCAGCACGCACAAGAGCAAGCTTCGCCCAAAACAAGTCAACCCAAGCGCAAGGGACACAAGAGTTGGCGGAACTGGTGGTGGGCTCGGAGCTGGTGATTGACAATTATGCGCTAACTGCGATATCCCCTCGGGCGAGTCATAACCTACACTAACACACCGCCCAACGACACTGGCGAGGTCCCGAGGAAACGGCCAGACCTGAGTACTATCCGACAAGAATGTCTGGGGCAACTCCCAAAGGGAGAGAGAAAGCGCTTGGGCCACTGCCTCCCATGTAGGGGCAGGGGTGCACATGCCAACAAGGCGACCCCCTTCGCGAAGAGCCCAGACAGTGAAGCCAGGCACGCAGGCAACTAGACACTTTACGTGCCATGCATCACATCAGAGATCGACAATCTCGGATGCAGAGTCAGGCGTAACCCCCGCGCCACATAAGGTCGGAGGTGCTTGAAGTACCGCAGCAGGTGTACTAGCAGAAATAAAGGGAGCGTTGGTCTGAACCGCAACACTATGAGAAACCCGGACCCTAGGGGACGGCAGGGGCGGAGGACTACGAACAATCCTAGGCTCCCAACGCAAATGCAGGAGGTATTCCCGAGCCCTGGCGAGGTCAGCCTGAACATGGACATGCCAATAATGACAGTCACCCCGGCCGGGGATAACAGTGCATTCCCAAGACAACACTGACAGACCAAAAGGCTGCAACCTACGTAGCAAGACAGCTGCAGGACGGTTGCTGTAAAGAAGGCTGTCGAGAAAGGCAGAGAAGGATTCGAAAACTCCCGCAAAGGCCAAAAGAAGGCCAACTGCGGATGGGTCGGATGCATCAGTCAGGCGATAGGGAACACAGTCTTGCCCAGGACGAGCAACACCAAACGCAGCATGTGGGAGAACATCCGCCCCAGGGATCTCAACAAAGACATGACGGCCAGGGATGACACTCTGCAGGAGGGTGCTCAGCACTGTGATGTCAAGGGCGCACAAACGCGGGACCTCAAAAGAGATCACCCCTTCAACGGAATGAAGAAGTGACACAACCCGCGACTCCTGAAGCCACCGAGAGGCGGAGGCGACATGAGGTGGCAAAATGAACGCCGAGACATCAAGGGTACGTTGCTCGGAATTAACAATCACCCGAATGACATCGCCGTGTCGAAGTCTGTGTGCCGGGCCTTTCAAGATTTGAATGTCACTGGCTGAGGCCGCTTCCTGTGCAGCAGTCATAACCTGGCTGGGACTATAATCGAACGGAAGCTCGCTGCAAACAATCTCCCTGCCTAAATCAAACAGGACAGTAAGCGCTCCCGGATGAGAGGGCAGGGACACAAGGTGAACAGCTTCAAGCGTAGGCCCGACCGACGCAGCGACAATCTGAGAGCGTCCAAGGCGAATGGCTTGGCGGTACAGCTCCGCAGAAACATCACGGGCCCGATCGGAGCTTGAGAACTCAATGCGCACGACGGAGCCTGGCAGCCAAAGGCGGCAGGTTATAAGGAACACAGTGTGTGGTGACGGCAGTGATAACCAGAGAGGACCATCGCCAAAGTCACCAGTCAGAAGCCACTTGGACTGCAGATGGGCGTGGGCGCCCGCAGGGGCAGCAATCTGGCGATCAGGAGCTCTGGCAGCGGAAATAACAGCGTCGCGTGGCGAGGCAGGTTCGCTGTGAATTTGAACCGCTGTAACAGGCGAGATGTACAGCAGTAAGATAGCAACGCTCCACGTGCCAAGTCCAGGCTGCCCTCCAGCATGCCAACCTAAGGTCCACAAGGCAATAGAAACTACCCAAGGCCTGCGCAGCAGGTTGACAGCATCGGACGCATCCGAAGCAGGCTCCTCAGTTTGCTCGGCAGCGCTAGGGTACGAGGAATTAAGGAACTCAGAGGGTGTAACGCCGGTGCAGGCAGGCATGCTGGCGGACGCAGAGGCTCTGGCAGGTGAGGGCAACAGGGTGTGCTGTAAGGCGGAAATGGTGTCCGATGTACCCGGAGTATCCCACCCTCCGACCTGGTCCTCCGAGGAAGACGAGGAGTCCTGGCGAAAAACATGCGGAAAGAACATGATCACCAGCGGAAAACTCCCTGAAATAACCTGGTCAGGAAGCACAGAAAATTCCCTGTGAAGAAGACCGAAGCCACCCCTGGCACACTGATCGACCCATTCAAGGGGAAGGCTGTTGCGATCCCGACGCGAAGCTGCTGTGACCGCTGCGAGCGCAGTGACAGGGGGCGAGATGCAGACAGTGGTCAGTCTCCAGCCCACAGGACGGAAATCCAGAATGCACGGCACTTCCTCCTCAGAACAGTGAACCTCAAGAAATTGGACAAGAGGGAGCGAGGGAAGTGGATGCCAGATACGCAAAACGCCCCCAGTAGCAGCAGGGGAAGCCCTCGTAGACACGATGCGTCTGAAGGTCGCAGCATCAGCAAAAACCGGGGCTTCAACGTATACTAACCCGTTGGGTGTGATAAGGACAGCCTGGTTATGCGAGTGACCCGGAAAGGCGTCGTAAGCGGCCGGAGCAGTGGGAAGGCTCACCTGCATCGCAGAAAAGAGAGACAGGGGCGGATCAAGGGAGGATCCGACTGGACCTTGCAACGCATCAACAGCCGGACCGATCTGAAACTGCAGAGTGTCAACATCCTGCAAGAAGAGGGGCTGGGAGACAAGGGTCAGCCAGCCCCACGTGCATCGAGCAAGAAGAAGGTCACAACCTCAGCCGTCAAGGTTTGAGCAGCAAGGGCGAGTTGGGCGATTGCTCTGCATGTGGAATCACGTGGACACTGTATCATACACACTCGGCCGCCAAGCTGTCGCAAATCGACGGGCAACCACACCTGCCGCCATGAACAAGCAACTGGCGTGAGGAGAAGCTGCTCACTCGGCAACCCAGGAAGAACTCCACGAACCCCAGACGTAGAGAAAACCCCAGCATGGAAGCCTAGAGCAGCGGCTAACCTAGCATGAAGGAGTGGCCCATGCAGCCATTCATCAACCAGAAAGGGAATGGGACATGGGTCCAGGACGGGCGCGCCAGGAGGTGTCCCCACAAACACAGCGAGATGCCTGCGGCTACGGTCTGTACGTGGTAACAGCAAGTTACCAGTACGGCCGACAGGATAAACGTCACACATCTCATCAGCACTGGGAGTGGGAAGAACAGGACCTGTGCTGAGAACCGGGAGACCTTCATGAAAACCGTGCGCGTGCAGCTGCACGGCTTCGGGGGGCTGCACAAGGTGAGAGGAAAGGACAGCAGCTCCCAGTCGGAGAGTAGCTCCGTCGGCAACTGAGAGGTAGAGCAGGAGCAAAGTCACATGGAAGTTAGGGCCAGGGGGCCTCCGCGGTCTCGCTTTCACACAGTGACGCACGCCGTGCACCCTGCGGCCGTTAGATCGGGCCCCAGCAGGCAAAACACATCCACGCGCAGCGAAAGGGAAGTGCCAGATGGAAAGGATCCAAGGCCATGTCGGCTCATCATCGCAGCCCGGTTGCCATTGGCTGCGGAGCCAAGTCCAACCACGTCCCCACATGCAGCCAGGTCCAGAACCCACGACAGGGAGGAATCGAACACAGTGCTGACTGGCGGAACGCAAGGCAGAGCCAAAGTCCAAGGCGAGTCCAGGAAGGCCAGCCAAGAGCTCACTGGTTATGGCACACAGCATCATGGAGACCGGCGGTCCGACTGCGGCAGCAACCCACCAAGCGGTTGCTGAAAGAACGCAGCTGAGCTGCCACGATCGTCGCCAGGAAAGGCGGGGGCCATATGTCGCAAGGAACCGCCCTGAAACCGCTACAACTCTACACAGAGCAATGTACAGAATCAGACATCGCCCTAGGAAAAGGCTAGCCGCGATCCATGGGAGATGCGAACAAACGTAGCCCCCAAGATCGCGACTAGCTGGGTCGATGTCAACAGAAACTCCATCACTCAAGAGCTGGGCTGAGGTGCTGTGGCCAAAGGGAACGGACAAGGCATCCTGCACAGAATTTGTGCGTGGGCATTGGAGGCCATCTCGGTCGCCAGATATCCCTGCCTGACCAGGCCCTGCTCCACCACAAGGGATGGGTGCAACCATTCCTGAAGTGTGCCCGGCGCGTAACTGAACGGGTCGAGCAGACTGCCAAGCGCCGCAT